CCCCCTCAGACAAATTAAAAGCCCAACAAAGACACACAGCAAAAGTCTTACCTCTCAGAACTACTCCTGAGGTTTGGAGGGAAGCGAAGAAAAACAGAAAAACAAGAATGGTTGGATGGATCTAACACCCAGGGATAAAAATGGGGGACGTCATACATCTTAATGAATAAATAAATAGGTTCAATCGAAGGCTTAAATCAAACAATTTTCCTTTAGATCTGTTTAAAGTCCTTTAAATGGGAATATGGAGGAAGCTCTGCTGTATTAAGCAAATAGCAGAACATCCCTGCCCCTCCTCCACCTGTTGCAGCCTGATGGAAGCCTCTGACTGTTTTCCCTCAATAAAAAGGAGGTCAAATCAAACGATATTAATTTATAACAGAATAGCAAAAAGGTGTAATTATGATAATCAATTAATAAACTGAAAGGTGTTTTCATTAGATGGAGACGACTGTTTCTGGTAACTTAGGAATAAACTAATATTGACTCCTGTGCAGGCTTACAGTTGAATCACAGTGGATTTTATCCAATCAGCAGTAAAACCAACCTGCTGGTTCTCCTTTGGTTATAGGGGCTCCTGGGGGCCGTGGAGCTGAACCTGAACCTGCGTCTGGTAGGAGACGAGTGCTCCTTAAAATACATGCTGCGTTTCCTGGGCTCCCGGGGTTCTGGAAGATAAAATGTGTTTATTAGGTCGACTCAAACGTCACAGTAAATCAGAATCCAAAAACCGGATTCTAAACAAGAAACATGAAGATTTTTAACAGAATTCAAGACAACAGCTTTGGGCAGCAAGTTCTGTTTTTCTCCTTTGTTTGGATGGATCTCTGTAAATCTGATCTTCCTACAGGATCTCATCCATATTTCAGGTAAATCCATTTCTTTGAACAGATTCCCTACCGTCTAACGGGGCCTGGTAGCGAACAACCGTCTTTCTCTGTCGGAAGTCGTATCGTTGGTGGTTTTCCTCTTCCTCATCCTCGCCATCCTCATCGTCCTCTTCGTCTTCCTCATCTTCTCCATCTTCGCCATGGTCATCCTCATCTGCCTCTGAGTTTTAAATGAGAACACCAGCCGATCATATAAATAAGGAAAATATGTGACATCGTTCCTGATGTTGAAAGGATGGCGTTCAGAGGAGAAATGAACGACAGTGTTTCCAAAAATCAAACCATCTCACCCTGGTTCTTCTCTTCAGATTTATTATTCTTAGTGCTGGTCCTCAGAGACCTTCTCATTCTATCTGAACTGTAGACACCAAGCTGCAAAGACGAAACAGCAAAAAAAAAAGTTAAAAACAAAGTGGAAATAACATAAAAACCACATGATCCAAATAAAATCTTAAACAACTAATGCAGCAGACAGTTTTAGCAGTTTTAGCTCAGCTAAAGAAGTAAAAAAAAAAAAATTTACTACCTCTTCTGTATTTTCCCGGTCTCTGCTTCTCAGTCGGCGTCTCATCTTCTGCATGTCGTCCATCTTTTGGAGGACTGCTTCAGCGGTGCTGAGGAGAGATCAGAGCAGAACATTTTCTCTGGTGGGAAAAAGTTTCTAGCTGCTTTGGAAACTGAAAGTCCAGCCCAGTGGGACTGGAAGAAAGGAGTCTGAACACCAACAGCTGAGTCTTGCCTTAGAATATCGACAAACTGAAACCCAAACACACGATGATGCTTTGATCTAAACCATTGTATTATAATCATGGCTGCTGGAAGGTGAACCTCCATTTCAGACAGTAGCCCCCCTCCCCCCTTTTTTTATTTTATCAAAAAGGTTTCAAAAACATATAAAAACACTTTTGTTTAAATCTAAACCTCACCATCCATTTTGAAAATGTTCAACATTGCATAATTACTAAAACAAACAAATGCCTCATGGTCTGGAGGAATATATAGCTTTGCACGGCTCTGTGGCTAACGTTAGCTTTGAAAACAACAAACAAAGTTGGAGAGAAACGGTTAAATGCAGATTCACTCACTTGGTGATGAGGCGATCATAGAGCGCAGACTGTTTACGGGAGTCCAGTTTATATCTAGTGATTCTGGAGCTTCTTCGTACCGAGTGATCCTCCTCCTCCTCTTCCTCCTCCTCCACCCCCCGACTCTGCAGGTTGAAGCGACTCCTCTTGGGGGTGGATGATGCCTCCACTTCATCTGGAACATCTGGGAGGAAGGAGAACAAACCTCATTAGCCATCCTGAACCCAGAATGCTTCCAAACATCAATCAGCTTCATGGTTCTCACCTTCTCGCTGCTTCTCGCATGTGGACTTTGCTTCTCTCTGCAGCCGAGAGGACTTTCTGATGACAGCAGAGCCAAATTAAAAGTGAGATTATTATGTTGGTTTTTTATTACAGATTTGCACTCTACCTGGAGCTAATGGTCCTTCATTACCTGGTGCAGTAGCCCTCAGCTTTGTCCTCATCCACAGGAGAGCTGGTTTTGGGCTCCATGTCAGAAAAGGAAACTTCCAGTTTAACTCGTCCTCTGCTCCGTAGGGAGTGACTGAGACTTCTTCCATCGTCCTGTTTCAGACCCGCATGACCCTGATATAATTACAGAGAATTTAGGTTTTTATTAGAGCTTGGAATTTAAATGGTTTAGTCTAATGAGAGACATTTGAGATAAGTTGGATCCTTAAATATTTCTCAAGATAAAACACAATATTTCTTTTATACAAAATGCACAAACAAATAGGAAAATGGATATAAAAAAAAACAGTTGTGGACAAATGAGTGCAAAGATGGATGAATGGCTTGATCCACACAGGGTGAGCTAATAGGAATAGAAATAGTAATATAAATGTCTTTGGTTATCCAACCCTGGAATATATTTGAATGAAAAGTTCCTTTTCCATATCTTTTAATGTCTTTGTAATAATTTTTTAGTCACTGCTTTTCAGGTTTCTCCGTCTTCTAATTTTAAAGTCTAATCTAAAATATGAATAGTTCACTAGTAATATATGGCAGATGGAGACTTTAAGAAAAGGAAGGAAGAAAACAATGCACACAAGGAAATAAGGAAAGTAGAAAGGATGCAAAGAAAGGAAAGAAAAATGGAAAGAGATCACATGTGAGAAAAAAAACACACATAAAACAAAGAAGAACCAAAAGGCAAGAAATAATCTGGTTGCTTTAATCTACTTTATGTCGGCACACATCTAAAACCACTGACTGTTTCAGAGCAATGACCTCAGCATGATTTCATGTGGTTTCATATCTGTATTAACACATTTTAAAATGATCAAAATAATATAATTATTTTGTTAAGACAACAGCAGAGGATACTGGCAGATACTCAGATAAGGAAACCTCTCCCTCAGCCATGATCTGCCTCATCATCACTACAGCAGACCCTTATTCTGAAAGTATCTCATAGATAATGTGTGATTAAGTAGGTTTCAGACATATTAACCCTGAATGGGTTCAAATCTAATCCAGATTGAAATGAGCTGAATTCTTAGTGAGTCAATAAGGCATTGCATTATGACCGGCCAAGTGAACAACCTCCTAATGTTGGTGGAATAGATCTGACAGCAAATTAAATGTTGTTTTGGAGGCATGCATGAGCAGGAGTCAGCCCGTTTCATCTCTATCATTTAATAGTTGTTGGAGGAACAACATAGTTTTCTGTGAATTTGCAAATAGTTCTTTAACTAAACACAGTAAAACAGACAAACATGGTTGAATGTTTCCACAAGCTGCGCTTAGAGATAAAAATAAGTTAAGAATTGATTTTGAATCAAACTATAAGCATAATATTTTGACAATGGAACAAAGCATATAGTCTTAATATTCTTTTCCTATTTATACTTATATAGAAATTGAAAATACTGTAATTCTGAACAATTAAAAAGGCAGAAAGTGCAACAAGTCTTTAATATAATCAATGTCCTATGAATCCATGAGTGAATGGAGGGAAACGATGATGTTGCTTATCTACTACAGATAAATAGACCAATGATACTAAATGACCATTTGATGTGAAATGATGATAGTTAAATAATCGTTAAATAGAGAGTTTCTGTAACATGAAGCAAAGCGAAGCAGCGATGCATCCTGGCTGGAAGAATCTGATGAGCTAGTTAGCTTGGAGCTAAACTAGCTCACATTAACTACAATTAACGACAACTTATCCCATTACTAAGCGCTGTTCCAGGGTGTGCTTACATTTATGGGGGTGTTTTCTGGGCTGCTGAAGCTGTCATTCAGGGACCGAGAGGATCGGGTCATTCGGGCGGACTTTCTCTGCGACGCGGGAATCAGCGACAGAAAGTCGGTGCTCGTTTCCAGGTCCATAGACCTCCTCTTCGGAGCGGTAGCCATCGGTTCGGCTCCGACGCCACCGCTGCTGCGTAGAACCACCATCTTGACTTTAATACCACCTCAAAAGATGAATCCCTCAGTCGGTTATGGCCGAGTTTAAGCTAACGTCTTCATAACAGAAATAGCGCGCAGCCTTCCTCTGCTGACACACACTAGCTCCTCCGTAAGCCTTGATTTCTGGCGCCATAAACGTCATCTGGGCGTTACGCGGAAAAGAGTTTTAACCCTCCGCTGACATAAATAGTGCTAACTTATTTAACAAAAACAAAGATAAAACATTTACATTTAAACATATCAGAAAGCTGGGATAATTTAGCCATTACTGTGGACGCCATCCAATTGAAAGTACGCTTCAAAATATAGAAATTAAAGAAGCGGAGGGATACATAAGTGATCAGGCAAGGTGATCCGGTGAACGTTAGAGCCCGCTCATCTCCAGAATCCCAAAACTCATTTTGAAATATTTTCAAAATAAGAGCTTCTAAATAAGAAACAAGGAGTCAACGACAGTTCACTATTCTTTATTTGAATAAGTGACATAACAGTGGAGAAAATACAAACTGAACAGCTGTATCAAGCCTGAAAAAAGAAGTACATAATGTAAAACTGTTGTACAGCAACCAGATCTTGACAGTAAAATCTCAAAGGTTATCCATTGAATCTTTCACACCTGCTTTTATTTTTTTATTTCAATTAAAAATGTTAATGGAAAAAAGAAAAGGCAAGAAATATAATCTTAGACTTTAATGATTTCTAAGTGTGTTTGTACATATTTTCAACAAAATTTGTTACACAAATGGAGTGTCTCCAAACTCCTTTGAAAAAATTAAGGGCAACAAGAAAATGAAGATTCAGTGGAACACCTGAGATTTTTGTCAGAGTAAAAAAAGCTTTTAGTTTGCACAGCAGCCAATTGTCACATAACATAGCATGTCTTAAGGTAAGGATGGTTATTCTGGCTTATCTCAGGTATAAATACATTTCTGTAGACACTGAGAAAAAGTAGTCATTAGAGTGCCTGGATCTTGATTATGGTGATGAAATTGTGGTTGTAACCTTAAGTTTCTTGTGACTAGTGGCTACTGCGCTACTAAATTTGTTTTTTGAAATAGGGGCAGGTGCCCCATCTGGGAGGATGTGTTCACGCGATGGCCGCCAGGTAATCCTTCACCTCTGCTGGGGTGAGTCTTTTGAACCCAGCCTCGTTGCAGATTCCCACCTCGATGTTCTCCTCTGTCATTTGACCCTCAAAACTCTCCTGAAACACAAAGATAGACGGGGGTCAATTATAGATTGAAGACAGTAAAGGGTATCATATTATTATAGCATTTTAAAAATCGTTCATTTAAACTGTTCCACCTTCAGTGTTAGGATCGCTGTGTGAATGGCATCTTCTAACTCCAGGTCATTGTTATACCTGAAGAGGTAAAGAAAGAAAGGTAAATGAACTCAATGTATTATAATTGAAATATTTAAGCTATAATCTGAGATTAAGACTTTTGAAAAAACTTGCTAAAAAATATGCCTATTCTCAATTTCTACCTTTTTTCAAGGAATGTTTTTCCATTGACGTAGTTCTTTCCCATGGCTGTGGCTTTCCATGCAAAATATGCTCCCTGTAAGACACCAATGAATGTTATAGACCCACCATGTTTATGACACTTATACGACCTTTAAAAAGTATAATCTATTATCAAACTTTAATTTTCTAAACGTATTGCTAATGGAAGTTTAGAACAACTTCCCAGACAATGTGAAATAAATCAACATACAGAAGGATCCGACTGGAACAAGTAGGGGTGATCCTCGTCCCAACCAGCTATCAGCAATGACACACCAAATGGACGCACGCCACTAGAAGAGAGAGAAAACAAACATCATATAAGAATACGTTTTTGATAGTCCCTAAAGTACCACAACCGAACAACTTAAAGTAGGATTTTCAACAGGATGAACTACAAATGTAGATCTGTGACTGATTTCATTCTGTCTCCTTTAAAAACAGATCCCAATGGAAGTAAGTGAACATTCAGGAGGATCCCAACAAACTGTTAAATTATGTAGATTCATAGTCAGTCTTTGTTTCAAGCCTTATGATATTCACAGAGAAAGAGAAACCACCCCTCCCTTTGTAATATGATCTGCTCTGCATGCTATGCTCTGGAAGGTGTCCCATGGAAAAGCTACAAAAAATGAGCTAAAAGAAAAACTGAAAACACAAATCATTAAACTTTCAAACCATGAAAGCAAAATGTGAACTTTAAGATGCAGAATATCAACAGTTTCCTGAAAGTCAGATAGAACCACAATGAAATGTGTCATGAGCCAAATTATGAATGAGTTGATTAGAAACAGAGTAAACATGCTAACGTTAGCCGAGCTCTTTAGGGAACATCTTAAACATGATGAGCGAGTAAAAAAAATAAGCTAACAGTCAGAGGTGGGTAGTAACTAGTTACATTTACTCAGTTATTAATACTTAACTAACTTAAAAATGATACTTTTAACCCTTACTTGAGTAATTCCTTGGATGGCTACATAAAATTTTTACTCAAGTTAAATATGTTGAAGTGGTGAACCTCTTATTTGTAGGGGCGTCCTGATACAACTTTTTCTGTCTGATAGGATGCTGATATTGAAGCTTTGAGAATTGGCCAATATCGACCCGATATGATATGAATTCTGATACCTTTTATTACTTATTTTATACTGGAGAATTTGTGAAAAGGCTTGAACAAGTAATATCACTAAAACATGGATCATAAGTCATTAACATAAGGTATGAAAACAACTGACCCATGTAAAATTAACCAATGAGTTACAGAAACCTTTTTACGGAAGCAGAGTGTTTCTATTAGTATCAAAATATCCTAGATAGTAGAAGCTAGTCGATAAAATCCGGTATTAGTATTTTGGCTAATATCAGACCAATATACAATATGAATAATGGATCGGGACACCGCTACACTTGAGTTAAATGTTTGGGTATTCTATCAACTTCTGGTCACAGTGATAAAACTAATGAAAAACCATCTCATTCTAACGTAATGAAGTGTTATTGCATTGCACAATAATGGGGTTTTAAACATCCATGTTGATTAGGTATCAGTCTACTTACATATTTTTAAATAAGTTGGGATTGTTAACAGTGATAATACATTCTGAAAGGGGTATTCATCACCTCCTAGTGCAAAACAAAATGGTAAAGATACTGAATGTAACGTACCCAGACTGTGTGTACTCCTGCATTACAGATGCCACCCTCTGGACAAGCTGGCCTGTAGGAATTGGCTCCTGATACACCAGATAGTACTGCTGTGCCAGCTTCCGGGCTCGTCGCACCAACACCCTGTCATGATGAGAAACCTGTTACTCTCTGCCGGTGACGACTGAGCTGATCAATAACAAATAGGTAAAGCCCTTGTCACACCTTGACGATTCAGACAGCGTATGCCCGACATACAAAAAATCTGTCAAAAATGCTCGCATAGGTTGGATAAGTTAGAGTTATGTGTTGTATAAGTTATGAGCACACTGAAACACGCTGGCACACGTCGACATATGGCGAGTACTTTGAGAAATTTTGAGCATGGTGTAATGCTCAAAATTTCTCAACATATGCCATGCATATATTACAGGTAAGTTATTTGATCGTTGACATATGTTAAGTGTAAGTTACTCATAAGTTGTGGCGTCTAGCTTATCCAAAAACTAGCAGTAACTTGTGCATAACTTATCAAAAACTTTTCTCCAACGTATATCAACGTATTTGACGTGTTCCAGACGACCACTGAACATGTTTCTGACATACAGCTACCGTATAATGACGTATTGGCAGCATTTTGGTATAAAAGGGGGTTCATAGGAGGAAAACGTCAGTTCTCCTCCAGACTTCCTCGCCATCATAGGGTGAGCGAGGAGGTGAGTGTGATGGATCCTCCCTGCGTTCACGACCACTGCCAACAAACTTCCTAGTAGACATGACGCTGAATCTGCTGTGACTGCAAACCTTCTCTCTTTTTTTTTCCATTTATTTATTCATTAGTTTTTTGCTGGGCGATAAACAGCAGCTAGGTCAATACGCCGATTAAAGAAATCTTTAAGCATGCAGGGTACCTCCGGGTGCATTGCTCTCCCTTTGTGCATCATTTCATGCCGTGCGTTATGAACAAGTAAGATTTCCGATGGACTTACACTCTAGATTTGTTATGAATACATAATGTATTCAACCAAAATTGAAAAAATACATAGAAAGTTCAACATATGCCAGCATTTTAGAAGATTCTGGGACGTTAATGGTGCTAAATAGTCAATGTGTAACAGGGGCTTTAACCAGCAAAACTGCAAAGAAACATAACATAAAAATGTTTATACATGAGATATTATAAAGAGCACAGCAGTTCATTTAGAAAGGCTTAGGAAATGTTTCTCAGTGGAAGGTTGGCATACCTGTAATCAGGTCCCATACCACTGTAAACCATTCCTATATGTTTGGTAATGGGTTCCACTTTGTGGACACTCTGCTCATCGTACAGGATGGACTTCTGCTTCTTCTCTGTGGCCAGGACAACTCCATTTGTAGCTGCAACAAAACATCCAGTGTAACAAAAAAAATTAACACAATAGTGACCCCAACAAGCTTTAACTCCAAGTCAAATACCGTAATTACTAGCTTAACTGAATTGCACCAATATTTTTAAGTAGGAGATGGTATCTAATGAACTCCTACCTTTGATGCCAACAGAAGGGGCTCCTGCTGCTACAGCTGCCAGCGCATATTCAATCTGGACCAGTTTACCTGAAGGGCTGCAGGGTGACAACACAACGATTAGGCATCATTAGAGCTGGAGGGGAGTTAATATCTTCTACATGCAAACAAAACAATAAGCTAAATAATGAACTACAAGATAGAGACGAAACTGAAAGTAAACTAAGAAACTGACTAACTTGTGTTAAAGTTAGATTTCAAAACAGCCGCACTCGACTCTTCACAAGGACTAACTACTTATTTTGCCATTCTTAACTTTCTACCCGATTATAATTAATATAAAATAACTAAAAAGAAAAAACGTTAAAGTTAGCCACTAAGCTAACAGGCGATTCATTGGACGACAATGACAGTGCATCAAATCCAGCCGCAGCTGAACCGCATCTCAGTATCTAAACGGTCCACAGACCAGACTCTTAATCAACCCGCCATTCTGGAAAACATTTCTACAACCAAACTTTAGCTCGCTTGAGAGGTTTCTATAGTTATTTTCATAAAGTTTACCTAAATGTGGTGAGAGAGAAACTGTAGCCACGCTCCGCCATTTTGATCCTCTTCTTCTATGCCAAGGTGCAGAAGCGAATCCAAATACACTTTAGGGAATGTAGCGCCCTCTATGAGACAACTGAATACATTACATGGAAATTACATTCAGGCAATAATGATAAATATTTCGAAATATTCAAATAATAGCTTATTGATATGCGTAGAAAAATAAAATCATTAACAAAACATGCCAGATTTCTACACTGTTTTATATCTTTTATAAATGTTAATTGTTATTCGCTTTCTATTTTTTTTGCCTTCACCATGTTTTTGCATCTAAAAATTATTGATAAAGAATTAATAAATAAATTCTTGCCTTGTGTTTTTTTAACAGATAGCAGCGAAAGGCAAACAAATAATATTTCCTTTAGACAAAGAAATCATAGCTTATAAGTTTAACAGGAGTAAAGCGTCAATTAATGAAACTTGATCACATTTGTTTTTTCTACAATGTTGATGTTTTTTCAAGAATAAAAAGACTTAGTTCAAATTTAGATGCAATATATGAATGTAGTTATTGATCCACTTTGATGCAAGAAAAATAGTGTAAAGAAAAGTTGATATAGGATAGTGGGATAAAGCAAAAAAGAAGAACAATTGAATATAAGGCTATAGTGAAACGTATAATGCTTTACGTAACTAAGAAGATAAGTTGTTATATTATATTGTATTTTGCATCTTTAACCAAAGTATTAGACAGTTAGATGTAAAAGTGCGTCTATTATTAGTGATCTTTCAATTGATGCACCGTTAACAAGTGATGGACGAAGTACTCAACAGTAGTACTTGAGTAAAAGTACTACTATAAATGTAGTGGAGTACAAAGTACAATATTTGACTTTGAAATATAGTGGACGGAAAGTTATAAGTACCCCCTCAAAAATGCTCAAGTAAAGTACTCAAGTACAGTAATCAAGTAAATGTACTTTGTTACTTCCCACCACTGCTGTTAATAAATGCTTTTTTTTTTTTTTTTTAAAAGAGCTAGTCTTTTAGAGATTTTTTGTCTGTTAAGTTTAAAGGCTGGATCAATTAGTTTGTATCAAAATATTACGGTTTTTGCATCATTTAACTTCTAGCTAGTGATTCAGTAAGAGAGGAGACGAGGTGAACAACCTTCAAGCAGAAAACGCTGGATTAAAGAAATGTAATTGATTATTGTGTCCACTAGATGGGGGTCACGTACAGACTCAACCCGCCACTAAGACGAAGAAGAAGAAGCCGGAAGATGGCGCTTGTGTGACCGTGAGGTGTTTTGTCATGTTTTGAAGGAGAGGAAAGACGCTGATATAAAATGATGAATTTACCTGCTTTGGTGCAGAGCCTCAGGTTTTCTCTGCTGCGTATTGAAAGCAGACTTCTGCAGTTAACCGGACTGGAAACTCAGGCGGGTGAGTTTTACCCGCATAAATAAAGGCTGCGGATGTTGTAACAAAAACTTGCAGACTGATTAAACGTATTCCGATTCATTTTGTAATATATATTGAGTATATATAGTGATGGGTTATTGAGGCATCTTGAAGCGTTTCGACACATTGCCAAACTGCATTGATACTGTCTGACAGAATACTGACACCTGCTGGACATTTAAAGACACTACAGCTTATTGGATAGACTAAACTGAATTGATTTGATGACCTACTACAATTATATCATTAAAGTTATTCTAGGTTATATTGTATTATTTCATATCTATGTTTAAATTAAAAGTATTTTTTATATTTTTAGATGCAGCCAATAAATAATATGAACATATATCATAATGTAAACATTTAAGGGGAAAATGTGAATGAGGATGCTTGTGGACTAGGATTTTAAATCATATTTTTTAAAACAATAGGTAAAGTAAAAACATTAAATAAACTAAGAGTCAATTTGAAATGACCTTTATTTCAGATAACTTGAGTGATAACTGAGAGGAAAAGTATGACACAATGAGAAAATTAAAATAAAAACGCAACAGCTGAAACGTTCCTGTTCCTTTTAGGCTGCTCCAAAATTCTTGATAATTTTAATGATTAAACCGCAGTAGATGAAGCACTTTTTTTAGCAGATGCCTCATGTTGACAGTTCAGTTAAGTTTGTCAGTCAGTTAGAAACAAATCCTGTATCGGTCACATGACAATCTTGAAAGGACACGTCTACCGATACAGTGTTTTGCTCTATGGGCTCAACGCATGCACCGACGCTTCGGTGTTGCTGGACCTATCACTATTTTGTAATTACAAGGTTGCATGTTGGTATACTATCTCTGCTGATTCTCCATGCTGTCAGCTGTGTAGCTCCTTACTCAATGTTTTTTTTTTCTGTCCTTAAGCTCCTTGTTTGGCAGTGAACGGCCCCGGCCTTCTGCCCCAGATTGACCAGGAATCCCAGCAGGATGAGGAGCAGGGCCCCGGGCTCATGGACAGCATCCTGTGGATGGCGGCCCCCAAGAAGAGACGCACCATAGAGGTCAACAGAACCAGAAGGAGATCTGAAAGCAAACTAATCAAAGTTCAGGTACATTTAGCAGCCATGGCGCATTAGTATGGAGGACCAGGAAAGTCACAGAGATAAAAAACAGTCAAATGTAACATTTCAATCATAGAATTAGAATGACATTTTTCATTTTATAAAAGGGAAAAATAAATGTTATTTATCTATAATTAAATATGACTTTATAATGCACCAAATATTTCTAGGAGAACTTTTTAATCTCTCTGCTTCTCCTGTCTGTTTAACCAGAACAACATTGAGCCGTGTCCAGAGTGCGGCCACTTGAAGCAGAAACACGTCCTGTGTGGCTTCTGTTACGCCAAGGTTAGCAGGGAGACCGCTCTGATTCGTCAACAGATGAGGGAAATGGAAGGCGGCCCCCTGAGGGCCCCGGCTGTGGAAACGGTCGTCCTGTATGAGGGGGAAACGCCGAGCGAGCAGGACAGAGAGAAGAGGATAGTGGAGCGGCCGAGGAAAAGACCTGCCTGGTTCAGCTACTGATGGGGAGCGGGTTTGGTTCTGCTGAGGTCAACGACATGTCGGCGTGTTTTTGTTTTTCCAGGACCATGTTTGTTGTCTCTTAGACATCATTTTTTGATTAAACCAGCCCCATAGAAGAATATCAGAAGAATGAACAACAACAAAAACAGTGGACCTTTTCTGTTCTCCTTTGTTCTTGGATTTTAGGTGATGATCCTCTTCTCCTTTCACAATAAAACTCACTAAATCATTTGTTTTTATTGGTAGTGCTGTTATTATCAATCATCTGATTAGTTCCTCCTTGAAAAAAAAGGGTTTCTTTGGCGATGAGTTGAGGTAAGACCGTGGGGTATGTACCCACTTCAGTTAAGATATGCATGTTTGATACGGTGGAAGCTTAAATTGTTCGGAAAATGTACACCCCCTGTCACCACGGCAACATGTGTTCAGATGGAGTCATGTGTTGCTGACTCTGGTGTCACAGAGCTGAGTTTGAGTTGGTCGGAGTCCAGCATCTTCTCTCTGCCACATTATTCCATCAAACTCAGATTCAGTTTCAGTCTGATCAGACCGACGCTGCCATTCGTCGCGTGGAAAAACGCTCAGGGTGACGTCTGCTTCCTGTGGAGTCTGCTGCAGCTCCAACGCTGCTCTGCTGGAGGACCTTAACTAAAAAGAGACTAGAAGCCTTTATTTTTTTCAGTCTCAAGGCTATCAATAAAACCAGAAACTTTAAAGTACTTTTTTGGGAGTCTAGTCTAAAAAGTAGGATGTTATAAAACTATCTAAAAAAGCAACCAAGCAGCACATTTATGCCCATATTGAGAATGGGGAAATTGTTTACAGCAGCAAAGGGTTATAGTAGAAGTGGTCACACAAATTTGGACCTTAGAAAAGTATAAAAATAACAGATAGGAAAAGAAAGCAAATAGAGTATTGTACTGTGTTTCTACAATATAAATACGCTGTATCTGGAGAATAGAAAATAAACAACAGCTGTGGACAATACAGTACAGTAGTGGAAATGTGAAAAATGACAGCAACGCCAGAGATGTGCAACTATAACAGCAGCATGTTATTTAACTGAGATAGAAACTACAAAAAGACAGGATGAATGTAACTTATTGAGGTTGTTGAGAACAATGATTGTTATAGAGTCTCACAGCTGCTGGGAGGAAGGATCTGTGATGATGCTCCCTGGTGCATTTAGGGTGCAGCCTTCCATTGATGGAGCTTTCCAGGTCAGCAACAGCTTCATGCATGGGGTGGGAAACATTAAACAGAGATGTTATTTTAGTTTCAGTCCACCTCCTGCACTGCGTCCAGAGGGCATCCAATCACAGAGCTGGCCTTCCTTACCCCTATAGCTATGATAGCATTATCTGGATCTTTACCAAGTTTTAATGGTTAAAAAAGAATTCCATAAAATTTGTTTGTAACTTTGTCAGTCACAAAACACACCTTCTTTGAAAATATCAGCAAATTACATCTATAACTTTTATAGCTATTATAAAAACAAAACTAGCAGGAAGCAACCTGCAAATACAGGTTTGCAGGTTGCTTCCCGCTAGCTTGTCAAATCTGCAGACTGCAATTGTATTTTTTATTTTATTTTATTTTTTTACAAAACATGATTATTCATATTGGTTGGAAAGGATCTGCTGACTCTGACCAGACGCTCCTTGATCATGATGACCATGCTTTGATCTAAGCATGGTTCAGGGTCAGCAGGAAGCTGAACCTCTACCTCGGTTTCACGTCCTCCACAGCTTCTTGCAGCTCTACTTCTAACTTCCATCAATCTAGCTGGTCTCTGCTGAAGAAAATTGCCCTCTTAGCATAATGCTGCCACCACCGTGTTTCACAAACATGGTGATGTGGGCAAGTAGCAATTTTATATTAGGCCAAAAAATTAAGTTTTTGTTTCATTTCATCCGCAGTGTTTCTGTGTTCTCTGCATGTTTTTTTGTGAACACTTCTACATGGAGATGTTTATGACTTTCTTTAAGGATGGCTTTGATCTGAAAACTCCAGATTTTGGAAGCAATTGATAGTTGTCCTGCTGGTAGGTCATTCCACTTCAGGAGAGAATCCATTCCATCCAATTCAATGTTAACTAAACCAAATTGAATTTAAATGTAACACATTGTAGGGATTTCCTCATTGGTTTACTGTAGATATTGCTGTAGCTGGGAAAGATCTCCTCTAGTGGTCTGTCTTACAGAGGCTCCTGACTGAAGACACTTGGCTGTTTCTCTGATGGAGGCTCTCGTTACCCTGCCACTTTAGTTGGAGGCTCCTGGCACTTTTACATTTTACAGGGCAGGATTGACTGGTGCCGCGGGTTTGGGATGTTGTTTCATAACCCTGCTTTCAACTTTGCAGCTTCATCTGGTTTCTTAAGGTCAAAAACAGATTTTTAACACATTTTTAAGATCTATATTTGTAAAAGGCAGATCAAAGTGTCATTTTCCTTTCCCACCATACATTAGTTTGTGTCAATATTACAAAGTTAGTCCAATAAAAAGTATTCAAGTTTCTGTTGTTTTTTTTAAACAGAAAATATAAAGTGTTAGTAAGCTGCAAAAAGAGGTTGATAAGGCTTTGGTCTTCTGGTGTGTTAGGAAAACGGTTCTGATTAAAGGTTCTGACTTCAACTATGCAGGCAGTCATTTGATCAGCAGCAGCTTAAACAGATTTCACTTTAATCCATTTAATGTTTCTTTCAGCTCAGGTCTGTAAACCTAGAAGAACAGGGTTACTTCCGTTCCTTTTACCAGCTTTACTTGTTTAAATGGAGGCACAAAGCTGATATCTCCAAGCACATTAACTGGCTATTGAATTTGCTCCATTAATCCTTCCCACTCACGTCATGGAAGCCGTTTCAAAGCTCCTTTTCAGATAAAAACTAACCTCCAGAAAGCCTGAGGGGGGGGTATCCACCAAATACACAACAATATGACACAGAGGAGTAAATATAGCAACAAGACGGGACATTTAAGACATTGCAGCACAGAGGAACTCATCTCAGATTTGTTGATGCTCGATACTGACGCAAAGATCATTTATTACTTGTTTGTTATGTTCTTCTGCCTTAATTTTCATTCAGCTTCAGTGTCAACAGTTTAATCAGAGGCATTGATACGGACGTTACCATGCACTGTGTGAGCAGAGGAGGCAGCTACCTGGTGAACTCCTACTGTGATCTACAGGAGGACAATCTGTGGAAGAAGGAGAGCTACATCTCCTGCTGGCTGAATGTGGTTCTGGAAACGAGACCTCAGTACAGGTGAGTTTAACGCTGAAGGCTGCTGCTTATTATTTGAGTTGATAAATCGCTACCAACAGATTTAGATTTAAATCAATCATTTACTTGTGGAAACATGTTTTTTTCTGACAGGAGTTAATAATGTTTTGAAGAAGCACTAGTTGAAGTTGTTTCAGAAACTATTCAATTTAATTCAGTTTATTTATATGGTGCCAATTCAGAAAACATTTAATCTCAAGGTAATTTACAGAGACAATTCAACCCGGTCCTACAGTCAGATTGGTTCAAAGTTTTCTATCTAAGAAAACCAGTTGATTGCATCGACTCATTGACTTGAAGGCAATCCCTCACACTAAGCATGGCTGTAGCGACAGTGGAGAGAAAAAACTCCCTTTTAACAGGAAGAAACCTCCAGCAAAACCAGGCTCAGTGTGAGCGGCCATCTGCAGAAGCCGACTGGGGTTCAGGGAGACAGAAGCAGAGATACAAAAAGAAACTGTCACCCAGCTCCACAGGCGGCCCTATCCAGGAAACACACAGCCAGGCAGATGAGCTCCGAGCCAGGATGAAAGTGAGCACATCCAGCCAGTCACAGTCAGAGAAACAGGACTACACTGAAAATCAGGGCAAACTTGAACATCTATAAACAAAGGTGTCGATGGCAGCAGCACAGCTGATATTTTTCTCCAGGATGGAGTCACAGCCAAACAGGAACAGACGAGATGAAGCTACTATGAGAAAAAGCAGAGAGAGCATAACATTATAGATTGGACTAACAGATTCTTCTGAATTAGAGAATAGAGATAGAATAAAGCAGAATAAAGAAAAAGGGGTCCCTATGTCCTCCAGCAGTCAAAGTCTAGAGTAGCATAACTGTAGAGATACAGGATCTCTGTTGAAGGAGATAAAAATTAGGGTGATGACACTGAGGTTATCCAAGCTAAATGGTTTGTATCAATGGAAATATGTTAAAAGCTGTTAAAAGAAGTTATAAGGATTGGCTTTCTGTTACACTAATAAAAACTTTTTCACCTATTACTGGGATTGGAAAAACAGAAAACAATTTTAAGACAAACCATTGAAAAAAAAAACTCTTTTATTTTGTCTTAATTGGCGTTAACTTTCTATTTTTGTCTTTGTATATTTGAGCAAAATAATTTCTTAGAATACTGATTGTTTTAAACCTAAATCTGCCATTCTTTAGAACAGTCTTTAGAACAGTCAAAGAAATCTAAATTTAGATGTGCTGCCATGAAGATGAAGACCCTGCTCTCCAGAGAGCATCACCAACCTTGTTTCCTTCTGAGAAGTTTAAATTTAGCTTCTATGTTAACAGCCCCCCCTACACCGGACTACTACACTATGGACATATTTGTCTTCCAGTGGTATTTAACATTTTCTACAAATGATTTTATATAGTTGCTGTATTATGCCTGTCCTCTTCAGTGAAGTTTCTGAAACATTTGGTTATATTTTTTGATGACAAGGATTCATTGACTTCGTTGTTACTTTATATCCTTATTTATCAGTCACTTTACATTGAACCATCTATCAAATGTGTGGCATAAAAAGAAATGGAAGAAACTGGTAATGCATGAATTGGGTTTTAAAAATGTAATGAAACTAAACTTAACTGATTACCAACAAGACAAACTTACATTCAGATAAAGAATGAATCTATCTTCCCTCTTTTAAGAGATTTACATGTTTTACAGAAACAAACCCCTGACAGACCTTCATCTGCAAATATAATAAACCTGTTTAATAAGAATGATAGAACAAGAATAAATCGTTTTTTTTAAACCCTTAAAGAATTTTAGCCATTTAAATAAACCATACATGTGCAACATTTAAAGTTTATGATGCCTGATCTACAAATAATAAACGATACCCTTTGACAAAGTTGATTTCATATTTGTCTGATGGGAAGTTTGTCATCTAAATATCAAAAATCTGTTATGTTTTGTCATGTATTTCAAAGAAGAAATACATGACATAACATAACATATAATCTAGAGAGAATTTTTTGTTGCAGTTTTACAGTGAGTTTGCTGTGTTGCAGGTTGACCCTGTCAGAGACCGACAGAGTTCGCAGAGAGAGTTATAAGCAGCAGCAGGTGGTCCATCTAATGGTTCAGAGGAGCCCCAACCAGACACTGAAGCTGGGCAGGGAGAGGGGAGTCATGACAGAGTTCCAGCTGCCGCTCTCCACCTGCACAGTGCTGCCCGCCAGGAGAAATATTACAGCAGGCAAAGAGGAAACCTCGGCCAAAACTCAGGACCTGTGCAAGCCAGTCAGAGGGAACTTCAGAGCCTCGGGTCTGATGTCCTCTCCAAGAGAAGTCTCTCATCGAGTACCAAGGAGGGAGTAATGAGATTAAAACTGCAGTTCTGGAAATAAACTCTAAACTGTCTGACCTACACTGTAATTTTCAGAGAACTGGACTAATAATAATAGGCAACAAGATCTGCCTAGTTTATATCTATAATAACATCACTATTCAAAAATGCAATAATCTTGCAAACTATGATTTATACTGGTAAAATAAAACTATAACAAAAGTCGTGTTAAGCTTTTGATTCCAAATGTAGAAATAAACATGTTGGTTTAAACAGTATGGCCTGGTCTAATATGAAATATAACAGTTTTTAACTTTCAATTTTAACATAATCCTGGCTATATCTACTCATGCAAATATTGCAAACATCTAGTCTCAGATTAAAAGATCTGCATACAAGATGCAGAGAGCGCCCCCTTCTGGACAATGTATAGTTTGAAGTAAGAAAAAAACCCTAACCTGGCATAATCCAGATTCAAACTGTGTAGAAGTCAAATTGAACTACATGTATGGATCTGGAAAGCATCCAGTAGAAAGTGTTTGCAAAAGGGAGGGACAGTCAGTACAATTCTTGAGCTGATTGGGTGCGTTTCTCCCATGTGAGTTTTTAGCCAATCACAGCCACAGTAGCAGCTGAGAGATTCTTTGTTTAATGGAGTAAACTCTCTTAGCAAATATGGTCTGGAGGAATGTGTAACCATATACCCATCCACAAAGGTAAAAAATCACAGCCCCTTTCTAATTTTTCCGAAAGAAATAGAGGGTATTCTAGCTAAAACCGGTCTTTGTTTTACTTCAGTGTTGCCCCTCTAGTTGACGCGTTGACATTGATCCCGAACATTTCTGTATCAACAACAAATACACCTTTCAGTTCCTGGCAAGATGTATTTTCGTGGGTTTGAGAATTTGCAAATCTCACGACAATTCATCTTGCTTGCAAGGTTAAAAAAAAAGACAAGACAACTGAAAAAAAAAAAAAAATCTATTGAAAAAAATACATTCAGAGGATTGCACATGGTGGTCAGTACATGTGAACTCATGACAGCACATTTTACACGGTTCTGGAAAAACAACACAACGGCCAGGTTTTCCCATGAAAAAAGCTACACGTGTGCATGAAGTCGCTTTACGTGTGCCTTTCAGTGCAGACCCATCTGAGAATTCTAGTGTTTTTGTTATTTTTTAGTATTAAAGATTTGTTCTTCCTTTTTTAACATGCAACTTAGATAAAGTGCTGTCCCCAAGATTTTTTTTTCCTGAAGTCAAATTTAATAAGACACATCTTTTCAATTTGATGAAATAATCCCACTGAGAAAGATTAAAACCTGAGGAAATGACAGAGACAGGTGATAAGGTGTCCCTACGTCCCACTAAAATTCATTTGACGAAGAAAATATGCAGAACATTACCATTTTATCAACAGAATATTTAGTGTTTCACTTCATTCTGAATTGTGTGCAAAATATTCTCAAAGTATTAAAATAACAGACGCATTTTTACCCTTGTCTTTAAAATGGAAGTTAAAAAAGTTATAAGTAAATGCTGAGAATATTTTAACTTAATTTTAAAAAGAAAATGTTTTTTATTCTCTTAAAAGTGCCATCAGATGCCACCTGATTCTCCTAAGTGCATTTTAACTTACCAGTTAAATTAAAGCTATCAAGTCTTGATATATGTATTTATGATGCTCCCTTAACTCAGAGGGGAGTTAGACAGAAGCATGATGGGAAAAAAACACATCTGAATAAAATGACCTCTTCGGTATTTGCATAACATTCCTATCAGAAATCACGTTTCCAAGCAAAACAGGATGCCAAAAAATAGCTTAACTGGGTTACTTTAGGAGACTCTGGATTTTCCCTTCAAATATGGCTTCTTCAGCTCTTTTGTGTTTCTGCAGAGTTATCTGCAGCTGCCAGTACTTCAAGTAAACCCACATGAGGCTTCCATTCTTCCTTTTGTCCATGTTCATCAGATCTGCACAGTGTTTGTCTCTTTTAAAAATGTCCTTCAAGTCCGACTCTAGACCCAGCTCTGCAGCGACGGGATCTTTGACGACCTTAAGCAGCATGTTCTTCTCCATCTCCAGCCGATGATCTCGGGGCTGGAGGAGGGAGCAGTAGGCGTTCTGACGCTCCACCAGCAGACCCTCCAGCTCCCTCAGAGTGGCTGAGGCTCGCTGATACCAGCTGGTCTCCCTATCCAGGGCGTCACGCAGTGCAGCACCGGCAGCGCCAGATTTGACCAACTTCTGCTTCTCTGTGTTCAGTGCCTCTCGCTCCTTACAGAGAAAATAATAGGTTTTAAATTAAAGAACACAATAGATAGAATAAATAAGAATATGAATGAATATTAAAAATGTCATGGAGGAATACCTGTTCCAGTTGTTTCCGTTCCTGGATTAGATGCTGGCTATGAGAGACCAGCGCCTGCTGGTATCCTTTCACCCTCTGTTTCTCCTTCTCTAGCTCTAGCTCAAGCGTAGCCACTGCCCGGCGGCTCTCTGTTAGCGTGTCTCTGTAACGAGCCTCCATCTCACTTTTTATCGTGGACATGTCTTTGTCGTACTGAACTTTAATCTTCTGGATCTCATTCTGAGAATCCCTCGTCCATATCCAACCTTAAAAAAGCAACCAATGAAAGTATTTATATATATATATATTTTAATCTTCAAGATTTATAACCAGAGTAGCATAGTGAGCACTGGAGTCTATATCCAGTCCTACGAAAAATAAAATTGAGATCAGAAAGGAACACAAAATGGCTAACGTTCATTTAGAAGTCAGAATTTTTTTTTTCCTATATGAACATAAGATTATTACGGATTTTCTACTTTTTAAGTTTCCATAGTTAGGGTTAGGGTTAAGCATTTCTATACTATACTATATCAAACTATATCAAAAATTAAAGACTTTTTTTTAGCTTAAGTTGTACCAAATATTTTCCTATTACATTCCATTTTCTATTTTAATCACAGGAAAGATATTGTTGCTGAATATGGTCAATTGTTTAATTTTTGAGAATGATTTAAGCAAGTGTAGAGCTTCCAGGAAGTAAAGCTTCATGAGATGGAAGACAGGAAAACATACAACTTGGTCTGCTTTTCAATCCAGTGTTTCTCTCATTATTAAAAAGAAAGAAAAACCCAATCCAAACTAGTAAAGAGGCATCTTCGTTGTTCAACTTACGAAATGCTGCCAGTCCCAGCATGGGCACAAGCAGGGCGTAGTTCCATTGGTTGCCATCACCAGCACCCGCCTCCCTCCCTCTGGGGTCAGGTTGGATGTTCCATCTGGGGGGGTCATTCAAGTTGTTCATGGAGCCTGCTAGAAAGATTAAAAAAATTAATAAAAAAACACTACATTTATATTCACTTGAGTCTTCTGCAGCTTGCATTTTGATTTACAGATTTAACCAGGGTTTTGAATAATTATAGAAAAAACATTTATTTTAGATTCTGATGACAAAACCAACTGCAAAAGTGAAGACCAAGAGGATAGGTTACTGTAAAAAAAAAAATGTAGCTATTTTACTTTTTAAAAGCTTAAACTTAAGTGTTGGATATTGGATATAAATATTTATTTATTTAAGCATTTAGAAAATTAACCGTAACAACACAAACAAGGCTGAATAAAGTTGTAGAATTATTTTACAGTCTATGGTGATGGACACTGAGCAGGTTTGACATTTTAGCCTAACAAAAACAAAGCTAGCATCAGCTAGCATGCTGGCTAACCTTTAGCTTTGCAGCTGCAGTATCGGACTTTAAGTCAACAATGGGAAATATAGCTGAGCCACAAATATATAAAACCATTACTTATTTGTTTAATGTATACTGCTGAGTCTCACCTTGAATCAAATGCCTAGGTCACTTATGCATTTGTTCCTACACACTCCGCTTATACAATAAAAAAACGCATTCTCCTCCACTCAGTATGACAGGGAGGTCTATGTAAGTTATCATTCATAATGCTAAATAAACATGTTCAAAAATAACGGTGTATTTTTTTCTGAAAATAAATGATCTATTTTACTGGATTATCTTCTTTAAAATGATTTCATATTTTTTATTAGTAAGAAATATTAGATTCAAAACAAATACCCACCCCTCTTCGTATAGTGGTTCAGTCCAGTCCGACAAAGTATTTCTTCCTCCAGCACCAGCGGAGGAACCAGTCATACTTCAACCAACATGGCGACCGTACGCGCTGCGTCCTGTCTTCTCTCCAAGCGGGTGCTCTCTAACTCGAAAGCGGTCAGTAACCAGAACTGAACATTCAAACATATTTAGGAATATTTTTACATATATATTTTTTGAATATGTGTATAAGTTTGAGTCAGTATATTTGAGCTGGCAGCAAGTGAAGCTTGCTTTCATAACCGCCGAGTTGCTGCTTGCGTAACCTATTATGTAGCATAGGGTGTCTCAATGTGACACTTGAAGAACATCATTTTATCCATCCCATTTAAGGATAACAGTTCGGTTCGACTTATGCCACATGTGTAATTTAAAAAAATTATAACTCTCAGATAATATTTTAAAGAAGAAAAGCACTTCAAATCAAAACTTTGTAATCAAACCTACAGATGGACTTGCATGATCCTAAAATGAGAACACATTTTATGTAAACACCTGACCAGGACTTGCTTATAAATAAGCAGGACAAATTTTGATATATAATATCAGTTTTTCAGCAGCTTTAGATGACATTCTTTTGCTGAAGTCCATCAGTGTCATCCATCATGAATATTTAACTCCTTTGTTAATCACGAACAGCTATTAAAAGTGCAGTTTTCTGAAATTTTGAATTTGGTGCAAAAGGTGTCTCTACACAGCACAGCCATCCAGGGAGGAGAAGGTGCCACTTAAGAAAAAAAACAAAACTGCCACCTTTCAAGATGGCGGATGCATTACCAAGATATTTTTATTGAAAACAGGACTTGCTTACAAAACACATACTTATGGATACCTTATCTATTTTATTTCTTTGTAAGATGATGAATATCTTTAAAGAAAACATGGGTTTCATGAGTTATAATCTAGTTACACATGTTGTAATAAAAAGTGCGTAAGACAGTTTTAATTTAATTGTTGTTTCTGTTTTAATGTAGTTGGTTTTATCCCATAAACCATCAATTAAATCTTCTGTTCCATAGCTGTAGGATTCCCTTGTAAGAGGAAGCTTCCCTTTTTTTCTAGCAGTTTTATTTGTCTATATCCTTCTTCATTTATGTAGGCTTCTATACATGACACTGCTAAAAGGAAGTTCATGAATGATAAAGTGGTCCTAAACCAATAATAGTAATTATTTGTTTTCTCTTTGGGATCAATAAAGTATTGTTTTTATTTAATTGTAAAAAAAAACAATAAACCCATCCTAGAAATCAAAGCTATCTTTACTTAAAGATCAAAAGCAAACATCTGTTTTCACAAAAGAACAAAAATCTACCATTAACATCTTTCTACACTTCCTTTGATAATTTAGCATAACAAAACCTAGCTGATGCATTAGTAATTAAAATGCAACACAATAACACAAGACTGAAATATTTTATTTTATTTTTTTACATTTGGCTGATGTAGTTTGCATATCTTGAAAACAACTAAGTCATTCATCCTATTAAAGTTGAGTCTTTAATTGGCTGTTCTTATTTTTGATAAGCAGGTGGGTCAGCCAATGATGCAGAGCAGATTTTGATACAAAGACAGGCGACTCTACACTTATAATGTAGTACTTTACTGCTTTTTATTTTCAAAACTCTCAGGAAATAAACATGGGGAACCGATTATGATTAATCAAAATATAGTGAGATAAATTATTACATTCTTGTTTTTATGGAAACACTGCATGCTGGGTTATGATTCTAATGTTAAGAGAAAAAAAAAGATTTATAAATATTAACATTTCTGTCCAGTAGACTTGTGTGATTTATTGATTACAGGAATGCATCTAATTCCAACACCCCAGGCTGGAACTGGAGCCTCCACATTTCAAAAATAATTTTTGTGGAGATCTGCAGGATATGTTTCTGTTGTTGAGAAGTTTGTCCTAGCTCTGCTGAATTTGTCTGAATCTGATATTCTTTCTAATATTCTTTTATACAAAAAGATAAAGAGAAAACATGCCTTATCTCTTCTTTTGATATACATAATAGTTTTGAATCTAAGAGAAGATTAAGAGATCATCCCTATTTATCCTATAAAACATATTTCTAATATTTCTCTTACCTTTATCTTAAAAAAAAAAAAAAAACCTAATCAAAATGCTTAATCAGGGCCAAAAATGTGACAGTGACAGACTGTTGTGATCTGGACCTGGAGTTTTTAAACATTTGGGAGTTCCAGGCTTTTACCCCCCACAACGAAAGTACCGCAGATAAGGACCCCCTATTGGTGACTAGACCACACCTTAAGATTTTATATGATTATTTTACTCTGTATTTTAAATTAACAGTACAGTACAATATATAATATATGTAGTGATTAGTAAACGTAAAGTACTTCTGAGTCGTCTTTAAGCGGTTATCACCCCTCATTAGTTTTAAGTGTTAATTTATTCACTATTTTAAGCTGAATAATTTGTGATGGGATTTAGTTGTGGGAGTGGTGGCCTAGTGGTTAGGACATAGATCTTGGAATCCTGAGGTTCTGAGATTGAGCAAGACCCTTAACCCCACACTGCTCCCCCGGCGCCACATGATGGCAGCCCACTGCTCCCCAAGGGAAGGGGCTAAATTCAGAGGTACATTTCTCCAATGTGAGATCAATAAAGTTTAATTATTATTATTATTATTATTCATTTCTATCTTCTGAGAGCAGCACAGATTGAATCGATAACTTTTAATTGTTTATTAAATCAGTGGGAAATGTTGCCAGTATCTTAATATACTAACAAGCCAGCCTCAAACTGTATTGCTGATATTTTTTACTGTCGCTGTGTTGATGACTTTCATGTCCTTCATGTGACTCTTTAACTGTTTCGCTGGCAGGTTCCCGCCGCTGCCGTTCAGGGCTACAGGAACTTTCACTTCTCCATCTATGGCAAGAAGAACAATGCCAAAGTAGCAGATGATGTGAGTTCTTCTTTTGTTTAATTGAAAGTCGCAATGATTTCTGTTATCTGGCCTTCATATATTTGGAAATGGTACTTTAGTTAAGTAATAGTACTCTGTGTCTAAAAAGTACTTTGAGTTTTAATGCAAACTCTTTTATTTCCCGTTAAAAACAATGTTTTTCTTTGTCTGCCTTCAGATCTCCACCCAGTATCCTGTTGTGGATCATGAGTTTGATGCCGTGGTGGTGGGAGCTGGAGGAGCAGGGCTTCGTGCTGCTTTTGGCCTGTCGGAGGCTGGCTTCAACACGGCCTGCGTCACCAAGCTCTTCCCCACCAGGTCTCATACTGTCGCTGCTCAGGTACGCTGATGTTATGGTTTATGCTAACGGGAACGCGAGTCATGTTGGCGACACACAGCTGTAAGTAGTTAAAGTTTAGTAGTGCTAATGTTTGGTTAATTATTCCTCTTCTTAGGGGGGGATCAACGCAGCTCTGGGTAATATGGAGGAAGATGACTGGCGCTGGCATTTCTACGACACAGTGAAGGGATCCGATTGGCTCGGAGACCAGGACGCCATCCACTACATGACAGAACAGGCACCTGCAGCCGTAGTGGAGGTTGGATCTTACTCATTTGTCGTTCTGCCCACTGAGGATGATTATGAAGGCTTAATCCTTGATGTTATGCTACTTTAACTGTTCAATTACACGGAGGATTCATGTTTCTTACCTTTTATCAGCTGGAAAACTTCGGCATGCCCTTCAGCCGCACCGAAGAAGGGAAGATCTACCAGAGAGCCTTCGGTGGTCAGAGTCTCAAATACGGAAAGGGGGGTCAGGCCCACCGCTGCTGCTGCGTGGCAGACAGAACGGGACACTCCCTGCTGCATACGCTTTATGGAAGGGTGAGAACGCCAGCGCCCCCTTTGTCGTTTCTGTTAATACTCATTTTACTGCGTTTCACTGCTCATTCTTCCTGCCCTTTGTCCAGTCGCTCCGTTATGACACCAGCTACTTCGTGGAGTACTTTGCCCTGGATCTGCTGATGGAAGACGGCGTGTGTAAAGGAGTAATTGCTCTGTGCATGGAAGACGGTTCCATTCACCGCTTCAGATCTCAGAACACCGTCATCGCTACTGGGTAGGACACTCATTTAAGCTGTAGCTCTGTGTTGTCATGTTAGGAGTGGTGGTGGTGATGAGAGTTTAAAATTTTTTCTTGTAGGGGTTATGGAAGAACATATTTCAGCTGCACATCCGCCCACACCAGCACAGGAGACGGGAACGCCATGGTTACCAGAGCCGGCCTGCCGTGTCAGGACATGGAGTTTGTGCAGTTCCACCCCACTGGTGAGAAATGTATTGGATGCATATTTGCATTCTTATTGTCATAACCTTGCCTTTCTTACTTGGCTGGATAAAGAGCAAGTCATGAAAAAGGTGATTAAATAAGTTTCAAACCTTTGTTCACTAATCAAATGGAAAAGTTGTTGCTAGATTGGATCTATGCAGATTTAATTTGAGGCATTGGTTTAAACCAATGTCGGCAACTGGTTGCATATCTTCAGCTCAAACAAGCATCTGGAGCTGAAGAAGCCAGAGTTGGACCGACGTAATGTCAGATCTAACCTTAATATGGCATTTTAGATAGAGATTCATTAATCCAGTTTTTTCCAATCTGATAGGTCGGCTAAGCGTATCAGTTGATATCAGATACAGTCTGATTCAACTGTTAAATTAACTATATAACTTGCCGCATGAGTGAAGGCTTTAGACTTGTTAAAAAAGGTAAATAAACACAGATATAAACTTGCTTTATATCATTTATTGAGAAATAAGCAGCAAAAAGAAGTAAATAATGGTTCCATGTAAAGGTTACTGGACTGGATCTATATCGAATTCCTAATCTATCCAATCCAGCTTAATAGCAGATATCTGATATGTGTGTCTACTTTGTGGAAAAACATTGTGGAAAAACTGTAAATTAGCCATTTTTTTTATGCAGTAGATTATAAATACTATGTGGAATCACGAATACACAATTTTCCTCCCAAGTATTTTTGACTGTTTATTAGTTTTCTCTTTGTTTTCTTGCTCTGACCATTGATCTAAAACTGCTTCTTTTTACACATGGATTGGATCATAACTCCAGTTAGACATAGTGTGACAGATGTGCCTCTCACAAGGACTGAAGGTCATCCTTATTTTTGTTCCTGCCAGACATTTGACACCAGGCTCACTAGTGACATTGCGTAATCCTGTTATACAGTGACGATGCCAGTGTGGCATTAGCTGTCTGTAAATCTGTATTCATTTTAATTTTATTTATCATTTTAAACACAAACATTGTTCAAAAATTGTTTGCTTGCTTTTTTTTTAATCCTTATGTCCAACTTTCCCCTCCTTTTGTTTAGCCTGTCCTTTCTTCCTTTAATGATATTTCAAATATTAAAATGATAAAGGATAAAAGATGGGGAATTCTTGGGATTGTGGTCTGGTTGACACTGGAGTTGTGGAGGCGCATTTCCTCAGATGGTCATTGCTTTAACTTGGGATGTTTGCAGGAATCTATGGAGCTGGTTGCCTGATCACAGAGGGTTGCCGTGGTGAGGGAGGAATCCTGATCAACAGCGAGGGGGAGCGCTTCATGGAGCGATACGCACCCAACGCCAAAGATCTGGCTTCCAGAGACGTGGTGTCCCGCTCCATGACAATAGAGATCAGGGAGGGCAGGTACGGACAAAAACTATTTGGTTGTTGTAGATGTTTAACAATGAAACGATATCTAACATGTCTTTTCCTTCTATAGAGGTGTAGGTCCAGACAAGGACCATGTGTACCTGCAGCTCCACCACCTGCCTCCCCAGCAGCTGGCGACTAGGCTGCCTGGAATCTCCGAGACGGCCATGATCTTCGCTGGCGTCGACGTTACTAAGGAGCCCATCCCCGTCCTGCCCACAGTTCATTACAATATGGGAGGCATACCCACCAACTACAAGGGACAGGTACGGCCTCTGTTCCGATCCTCCGACCATTAATTAATCTCAACCGTTATTCTGATGGTGATTCTTTTCACTGTCAGGTGATTGATCACACCAATGGCGAGGACAAGGTGGTTCCTGGTCTGTACGCCTGTGGTGAGGCGGCGTGTGCCAGCGTCCATGGAGCCAACCGGCTGGGGGCCAACTCCCTGCTGGACCTGGTGGTGTTCGGGAGAGCCTGCGCTCTCACCATCGCTGAGGAGCACAAGCCTGGTGAGGATCCGTTTCATTCTGGGAGAAATTTAAGACACTACACGGTTTCCTTGTTCATTTAACTAATGCTTGTTTTTAAAATCTTTTTAAGGCGAGAAGCTGTCTCCTCTAAAGCCCAGCGCCGGAGAAGAGTCTGTGGCTAACCTGGACAAGCTGAGGTTTGCTAATGGAAGTCTGAGAACGTCTGAAATCAGGCTCAACATGCAGAAGGTGCAACTTTAAATACAGACATCAGTGGACTCTGGATTTGTCACTTCCACACAGGAGCTAAAAGGTGTTCATCAAAGGCTAAGACGCCTGCTTTATTTCTGTGCTCAGGCTATGCAGAACCATGCTGCCGTGTTCCGTACCGGCTCTGTTCTGGAGGAGGGATGTGGAAAGTTAGACGACATCTATCAGAGCATGGAGAAGATCAAGACCTTTGACAGAGGTAGGGACTGGTTTCCTTAATGGCTTCTCTGGATCACGCTGTGGGGTGGGGGGGGGATGCTTAAGGAGTTTATTATCTTTGTTTTTTTCCCTTCTCATTTAGATTTTTGTGTTTTGTTTTAGGAATTGTGTGGAACACTGATTTGGTGGAATCCCTGGAGCTGCAGAACCTCATGCTGAACGCTGTCCAAACCATCAACTCTGCTGAGCAAAGAAAGGAGAGCAGAGGAGCCCACGCCAGAGAGGACTTCAAAGTAAGTTCTTAGATTTTCCCTTATTTACCTTAGACCCCTGGAACATCTTTGACTGAGTTTTTATCCATGTTTCTGTTTCCTTGCTCACTTTAAGATGCATTATCTCAGTATTAATTGGCATTATGTCCTAGTGTATTTTCCTCACTTCCTTCTGAAATGATCATATATCTGCTGTCAGTGGAAGCAACAGACATGCTCCCTTATATTTATTACTCTTGCATGTTTATTACCACTGTGTTCTTGGACACAATTAATACAAAAAGAGAAGAAGAATATGGCAATTAGGTTTCAAAATATGTCTCATAATTTTGGCCACTTGGGGGCGCTCATTGATACTTTATGGAGAAACTGAGTTCAAAGCAAAACTAAGTACCTGTTAAAAAACATTCTTCCTTGGAAACCTTCACTTTATCAAGCATCATGACCAACATGCAAAATAATGGAGAAGTTATACTTTGGACTATGCTCATTAATCCATATTTATAAAAAAATAAAAGCACTCCTGGCAAAATTATGCTAGATGAGTCTTTAAATGGTTTTGCATTTATAGTTTGTTTGTACTTCTGTTTATTAGCTTTTATAGTTTACCAGCTGTTTCAGGATCAATCGTTAGTGCTAATGTGGCAGAACCTCATTTTTAATGTTAGGGGTCAACTTAGAGGCCTGGTGTGAATTAACTTTAGAGTAAATTTTAGGGTTGGTCATAAAGCATTAACTAAGGTGAAGATCAGTTAATGTAAAGTCCTATGAGTAGAAATACAAACTTGGTAACGTGGTAAAAATGTACCGTAGTCTGTCACCATGGTAACCTAAGCTGCACATAGCTTACTTCCTGTCTGGCTGCTCTCTAAATCCGCCACCTTTATGTTCCAGGATCGCATCGACGAGTACGACTACTCCAAGCCCCTGGAGGGTCAGCAGAAGAAGCCCTTCGATGAGCACTGGAGGAAGCACACCATGTCATACGTAGACCCCAAGACCGGAAAGGTATGCTTTGCTCCGTTTATTCAGATTTCAAAATAATCTGTGATGTCTTAACACACCTTTCATTCTGCCCGCTAACAGGTGACGCTGCGTTACCGCCCGGTTATTGACCACTCTCTGAACGAACAGGAATGTGCCCATGTTCCTCCTGCCATCCGCTCTTACTAAGAAGATCTCACCCCATCTCGTCCTAAACAGAAGGATAATTAACTGTTATTTAAGATGGAAAAAAAGCCTTTTTCTTTTAACAGAGAAAACGGTTCATGTTGCACATTTGTAACCATGTAGAGTTGCTGATTATAAAACCTGCCAGTTTCAGATCTTGGTGTCACATTCCTGTTTCTGTCCTCCATGCGTGCTTAGCCCGATATCTATTAGCAAGGGTAGCGTGGCCTCACATACACACACCGCCTGAGCTCTGTTATTGTAGATTGTAGAAACTCTGACAAGTTAAGGACAGGAGAATAAGTAACAGAAGAAGAAAAGTGAAAAGCGTAAGCTTCTCGTTTTAAACACTTTTGAAATTCTCTGCTTTTTGTTGAGTGTAGACACGGTGAGAATAGATGTAATTCAACAGGCCTACATCTCTGAAAGAGCAGGAAGTATGTAAATATTTCAGAAATGTATAATGAATATGCTGAGTTTTACTGTATGCACCATTTAAAGCATCTCCTCTCTTTGGGCTGCATGTGCTTAATGTTTTGGTCTCCTCACAGCTTCTGTAGCTAATTTAATGAGCTAAAGCTTTCTGCAGTATCTCACCATGAATGTTAACTCTATACTAGCTGTTCAAATATCTTCCACCCGATTTTCACCTCAGCTAATAGAACAATGGCTCCTGTTCTACACTCTGTTATTGTTACTCCTTTGAAGGGTATTTTGCAGAAAAGGTAGTGTCTCTATCAGAGTAAGCAGCAGGACTAGGGTCCTATTCAAAAGTCAGAAAGTTGTTGATGTGAGGGGATTGCATTAGCCCTGAGCAGATGTACTCCAGATCCATTAAGTCTTCATATTAAAGGTGGAAATAAAAGCCGTTTTTTTGCCTTAATGCAAAAAAAACAAAAAAAAACATGCATTGTTCCTCATGTTTTGAATTTGTTAAAGGGTGACTTAATTTATTTTCTGGTTTTGCAGGGAAAAATGCCTTCATTCTAATTATTTTTTTTCTTCATTTGTATACGTTTTCATATATTCAATAAAGTTTGTGCTATGCATTGAAACAAATTGGTTTTACCTTGTGGGATGAACTGGGTTCAGCAGTGGGGCTACTTTTGCAGTGTCAAGCTTGTTCTGTATGTTTATGTATAATTCTGGTAATGAATCCATATTCATGATCTATGCAGAGCTCAATCGATGTGTGATGCCTTGATCAGCTTTTGATTCAGGGTCCCACCTGCTACCTCATGCTTTTTTTAACATACTGTCCATTTAGACATTTTCTGGCAACTAGTATGTATTGAGCTGACTTCAAGGCAGTGTGATACATAATGCAGTAAATGCACATAACTTGGAAAAGTTTCTTTTAAGTTTTAAGTAATTTTGTTTTATTCTGAGTTAAAGATTGCTGAGTTTAGGTTTGCTGGCCAGATTATTTTGCTGGCATTAAACTGATAAGGGAGTGCAGTGTTCAAGGAGCAGCCTACCCAAAAACCTGCCAGATGAACTACACCAATAATGTGCCAGTCTGGTTTTGTAGGAGATGGTACATTGCAGATCTACATTCCCTTCTGTATTATGATCTATTTGTTCACATGTAACACTTTTTTTTAATAGCATAAATATCAACCCTTTCACAGAAAAACAGTAAAATGTGTGTTTCGTATTTCATTTTGTTTTTTAAAAAAAATCGGCAAAGAAATTATAGCTTCTTTTCTTACCTAAAATATGTAACATTGTTCGGAAAAAGCTCTTCAGCAGGAAATTAAAATATTCACAAGTCAAAATTGCTTAGAAATAACTTTATACTTCAGTGACTCTTTAAACAAAGTACCCTCCTCCATGTTTTCCCTGCTTTCTGATCTCAGGAAGAAAATTATAGTTTAGAGGCACTGACTGAATGAAAGTGTGTGCCTTATACACCACTCTCAATTCAATCTTAGATCCGGTACTTAACCTGTAATGGATCTCTTGGCTTCTGTACAGTTTTAATACATGGCATTCATTTAATTAAACAGTAGTAAACCATCCAACCTGAAGACTATACAGTGTGGAGCTCAACCAGCTAGAGAGATTATATTAACCAAAGTATTTTATTTAACTTTGTTGGGCAATGCAGCAATAAATCTTCACAAGTTGTTGAGATGTTCTCTTTTGAGAATCAAACATCTGACTCAATTTGTGATAATGGTTTAAAGGAAGGAAATGGAATCTGGAAAGTTTTCCATTAAAACTAGAACCAAGTAACACTGTTATCCACAAGCTAATGGCCACACTTATGAAAAACAGCATCTTCTTTTCAGGAAGTTCAGTGACAGTGAGGACCCAAATAATTTGGTCTAATGGACAAAAAGGTGCAGTTTAGCTGGTCTAAACACTAAGATAATGTAGAGGGGGAAAAAAGTAATTAGCTTACCCCCAAATGGAAGATTTAAGGCTCATATCAGGCAATTTTTATTCAAATATTGTCTTCAAGTTCTTATTTCATATGTCTAAATATATCACTTGTTTAATTATCATATATATAAATCACAACTAGTGTTGTGCAGATGCCATTTTTTGCCCTGATACCATCTGCTTGAAACTGATTTGTGTGTATATACTGTATGAAGAACTGCATACTGCTTGGATGTAGAATAACTGCCATCATGGCTTTGTCAAGCTGCTGCCTATCTTTGTGAAGCAGGAAAAAGACTAAAGCAAAGTGAATCCAGTAAAACTTTATATTGCCTACCTGGAATGGGTGACAATAGTTTTGGCTCTCAAAATGGTATCGGTGCCCTATTTGTTGGTACTCGCCGATACAGATGCCACCATTTTAGTTCATTATCGGTGCGCTGTCGGATACTGGTATCAGTGCAACACTAATTACAACCATATAGTATAATTATACACCTAATAAAAGGGTAATTCTCTCTTAGCTAATAGTTACATTTCACCTTCAATGAAAAAGGGGTCTATGTTGTTATCCTGTTTAAAAACTAGATGTCTAGATGCATTGTTTATGGAGTCTGTTTTCGTGATTTCATCAATTCCAGGGGTTAGTTCATCAAACAGTATGTGCAAAGATCTAGAGGAATATTACAGTTTTATGCACGTAGAGTCTTTCTGATCTTATTTGGTTCCCCTGTTTATATGAAAAGAGATTAATATTTCCCACCTACAACACCCTGAACAACATCCTGACCCATGTAATGACTTAGTTTCTTAAGCTCTGATGGTTTAGGAAGGAATTTCTGCCTGAAAATAATTAATTAATTAATTAAACTAATTAAATCAAATGTCACTCCAAGTTATGAAGTGGTTAAATAATACTTTTCAAGTGGAACCAGTATTGTAAATGTCATCATTCCTGGCTATGTGCTTGGGGTTGTTGTCAGACTGGAAGACCCAGCCTCGACCTCTCATCTTCAATGCTCTAACTTGGGGAAGGAGGTTGTTCCCCAAAATCAAGAGAAGAAAAATCTAGAAATTCCACAGGAAAACATAATGATTACAATGTCATATTCAAACTAGTCAACCAGACAGATTCTTTTACAGATTGAAATCCGGTGCAGTTAACAAAATCGATAAATAAACTTGTAGGAGAAGTCCGAAGTGCCAGAATACTCTATACTGGAGACCTGTTAATTAACTGCAGAGACAGCGTTCAGCAAGGCAAAGATTAACAAGACTGAGGGGGAAGAGTTCAGTGCAGCTTGGTGGAGAACAAAAAGATTAGCAGGGGAGTCATTGGAGGAGTTCCTCTAACAACGATGTGAAAGGTATACTGTAGAGCACGAATATGGAAAATGTGGGAAAGAAGATAAAATCAAATGCTGTAACTGTGGTGGAGAACATACTGCTGCATATAGCGATTGTGAAGTGAGTAAAAGATCTGAAGAAATTAGAAAAGTTAAATTAGAGCTCGGAATAACTCATGCTGAAGCTGAAAAAAGGATCCCATGGACAGAAAAACCCAAACCAACAGTTAAGCAAATAAGTTCAAAACCTCTGGAGCAGCATCCCAAATTGAAGATTTATTGATAGTAAAAAAAGAAAGATTTTGTTCTTTTCATGGTTGAAGTGATCAATTGTAGTGCTCAGACAACAAGGGAAAACCGAACAATATCTAAATAATAGTGAAAGCTGGAGAAAAGTATCTTGACGTTAGAGATGGGAAATGGTTAAAAAGCATGATGGGAAAACGAGTAGGACCATCAGAAACTGGCAGTGACGATAATTTTGAGATAAATTATGAGGACTAATGTGATTAAGTATTTATTATGTTGGTTAAGTTAAACAGTTTGGAAAGATATATATATATTTTTAATCATTATTGTTTTTCTTTTCTGGGGGTGAGTCTTGTTTTCTGTTTCCTTGCTTAACTCCTTATCAGTTGGTGGCGGTAATGAACCTTTAAGTTTGCCAACCGCCATGAAACTTTCAACCGCCATGAAACACAAGAATTTAAAGGCAGACTAACAGATCTTTAAGGGTCATAATTCTAGCTGATAGTCGGGTTCTTAAATATTTATTTGCAACTGTATCATACAAAATAATAATTACAAAATTATACATTGTGACTTCTGGATATTTGTTTTTTTTAGATCATGCCTCTCACAGTGGCCATGCACCCATGATTACAATTTCAGAACGCTCCATGATTTGTAAGTGGGAGAACTTGTAAAATAGCAGGGTTCTCAAATACTGTTACAGCAGAGCTATACAGTATATATATATATATATATATATATATATATATATATATATATATATATAGTGTATAGTTCTGCTGCAACAGTTATGTAATTAGTAAAATGTGGATATTGTAAAAGTTTTATAAAGTTCTTTGAAGCAATTCTACATATGGTAGTTAAGATGAGGAGAGGCTGGGTTGAAACAAGATTAAACCGGAAGTTTTTTTTAAATGATCGATCAACATTCAGAATTATTTCCAACTTTATTTATGTTCCCTCTATTTGAAATAGCAGAACTATAATGTAACTATGCTGGAATAGAAAGTTACAGCCAAACTTATCTTCCGCGTCTAATGCAAAGACTCCCAAACTGTCATTTTCTTCTTCTGT